ACGAACTAGTCCGACGGCGCTTAACGACAGCTATCACGAGGGCATTCCCTGCGGCGAATTTACGCGTATGCTTCACAAACTCTCCCCTCCTACGTTTGGGAGGTAAAGACAGACTACCGTTGGAGGCCACATCAATGTGCATTTATTCATTCACTTGCTCCTGTGGAGCAGGATACATCGGCCGCACAACGAGACGCCTGGTAAAGAGAGTACGTGAACATATGCCCGCCTGGCTAGACAGAGGTGAGACCCGGTCGATTTCGAGTTCTATTCTCGCGCATTTAATCGATACGAACCACCGAGTCGATGCCAAGAAAGCATTTCAGGTTGTCTACCCCACCGAGTCGATGCCAAGAAAGCATTTCAGGTTGTCTACCGGACACCAACATGCTTCTCTAAAGGCCTACGCCAACGGATACTAGCAACGGCAGAGGCAGTAGCTATACGGTTAGTGAATCCGGTGTTATGCTGTCAGAAAACTCTGACACAAGCGCTTTTGCTGCCGTGGCCAACGCCAACGCCAACCCTAAGTGATGAAGCCATGCCGCCTCAAATCCCTAATCACGCTGATGGGTACTCCGTGTACTCAACCCAAGATCATTACTCAAAGACTCTCTTACTCCCCTCCCCTAGCCTTGACGACTAACACCCGCCGACCTTCTCATGCGGGCGACGTGGGGATGATGAGTGTTAGTGACTTAATAGCCCTTGAGGCATCTATAAACACTGTTGATTTTGTACATTTTCATTCGTTCATGTAATTGTATTGGCCTGAGGAAGAATTACCGAAAACGTGCGTTCGCCAAATTGACTTTTCAATTAAAGTTGTCTTCAACTCGAATCCTATTTTATATATGCCTCGTCTCGACCGACGAATACCAGCCGTCCTATCCCACAATGCAAAGAAGAACTAGGGCCAGGCTGGCCCGGTGTGACTTTGCAAATCTTTGACTGTGGATGCTGTTATACCTGCATCCTCAGGAAATTGAAAAAAAGGCCTGAGAATTATGGTCATACGCATCGCAACAATACCCAAGCGCTGTTACCTAGATGCCTCATACTAACATTTTATAACGGTTACGTGAACACTACGAATCTTTAAGAAACATTTGCTTATCAAATTTGTTAAGGTGTGAAACTTGAAGAAAGCCTTAATGTCACTCTTTAATGACGCTGTGGCCTACATCAGCTTCCAGTTACAAGTTCATTACGTCCTTAAACGTGTACATTTATCAATTTGTTATTCTAAGACGCATCTTACTTTCTAACTGTTTACATACTTTCGCTGGAAGTTACGAATAGATTCAAAAGTATACAACACACCTCCTTCAAATAAACTGAAATGGACTAGAATATGTCTACCTATTAGCTATTTTGCTAAGGGGATTCATAAACTATTTCAAGTGTATTTCTGTATCACCATGCAGTTTGATAGAAAAGCCACAACCCCAAGCAAATAGATTAGAGAAGCTCCGAAAGAATTTCAGTGCTCGGATGATATTAGTTATCTAATCAAAACAATCCGTCGGCAAAACTCAACGGGAAAACGAGTAATGCTCTTGTATAAATCAATTTCAGGCTAAAGAATTGACCTGTTTGAATAAACATTTCAATTGGGAAGTATTGAGAAACTGTGTTCTCCTGTTTTTTTTGGCACTAAGAATATAGTCAGTTTTCTAGGTTACATTTAGATTTCAGCCTTCAATTTCACTATTGTGTTGTCATTTGCATCAATACCACATCTGCGTTTACGCATGCTAACCGCACTCACTTTGGTTTTAACTTTGTGTAAAATGCTCACTTTGCTAACATAGAAAATTAACGGTAAATAGCAGAAGTTTTGTATGAAACGTGAAATCATTTTCATTGAAATTTCGGAAAGAATGCCTACGTAATACGGTCCCATCAGAGACCTGACCTATATTTATTGATCAGACATCACATTAAAGGTGTGCCCGATTTGCGGACGTCACTCCTGTGGTTATCTTGGTTTAGCGCCACAAATCGCAAGGTGACAAGTGACGCAAGTGGGTTACTCTGGGACAGATTTGAAAGATTGAACCAGGTCTGCAATAGTTCACACTTGTGCGAGATAGATCAGGGAAAACACACATATTTTGAAAAGCGTTGTTTCAATACATTCACGAAGGATGGGGTGGCGACTAACCTGACCATTTGATCCACTGAATTTTAAATCCCCAGAACCGTTCTCTGGAAGGCGCATACGTTCAGGAAACTTCGATTAAAGTATTCTATCCGATGAAAATTAAGACCAACAGAAATAAAAGTAAGTCCACCACTTTTCGTCGTCTAAATGTTCTATTACTTTCACTCAATAAGACAGGATATTCTTGTTTTCTTTGAATTTCCAGTAGTTCAGCCGGATGCTTTTTTTAAGATCATTTCAGGCACTAATTGATACTTCTCGGTGCTCAGTGTCCGTAAAATGTTACTAATGAAGGATTCGGAAATAGACGGAAAGAGCAAGTAGGCGGGAATACAGTGTCGCAACACTTAGAATTGTCTATTCCCCCACCAGCCTGTCTTACGGGCGGACTACTACTAATACTAATATTACTACTACTACTACTACTACTACTACTACTACTACCACCACTACTACCGCTGTTACTACTAATACTAATACCACTGGCGGGAATACAGTGTCGCAACACTGAAGAAAACTTTTTCCCCCGTCTACCACCACTGATACGGCGAATACTACTAATAATCCTACAATTAGTACTACTACTATCACCGCCACTACGGCTGCCAATGCTACTCTACCAACGCTTACAGTATGGGTAACTAACTGCAATAATACTAGCATCAGTAACGGAGTGTTGCGACACTGGTATCCAACCAGCAAGTATCCACCCGTAGAGATCTTACACCTATAAGGGCTTTAGGAGATACAGAATACCCGTCTAAGATCCGGTGATTATAGAAGGAAGAGGGGAATACCCACTCATTGCCTCTAAAGTTGCTTTATCAAGTCTGGGTCAAGCAATAGTTTTCAGCGGTCAATTTGCCTATGCGTAAAATTGTCTGTGCAAGGAATTAGCCAGGTAAGACATCAGACGAGAGAAAGCCCAGCCTGTTTTCTTCAAGCTCCAAAATCACGCGTTGGGCTCACTTTCTGCAAAGGAGTGCATGCATTTATATGGACATTGGTGTATTGTACACACAGACCTCAAGTTAAAAATTCAGTCAGTAAACGTCTCTCAAGATTGAAGATCTGCACCATTGCCTAATCTTTTCCAACATATCTCGGTTATGCTGAACGACCTGCCGACTAACTGTGGTTTACCTCAGCACACAATCAGCGAGATAAGCTTAAGCATCGAAGCACACAATAAATATAGAAGCGCGCTCAGTAATTCGAGAGCAAAGGTAAAGCATTCTTAAGCTATGCTGTATATTGAGATAAACATTTGCGATATGTTATTGTAGAAAAATATTCAACCAACGAACTCGAATTTAGTCCACCTAGTTGCAGACACTCAATGGGTGATGCCATTGGCGAATATACCAAAAATATATAGTTTTTTATGGTAACTGAAATCGCATTATTTTTTCATTGACGCAAAAACCTTTAAACAAAATGATATTACCCACAAGGACAAGGGAGACTGGAATGGCCACTTCTGGCTTAATAGCCGTGGTCAGCCAGTCATACCCAACCCCGAAATGTGGCACACCTAAGACTCGAACTCGCGACCTATTTTGTGAGAATTCCACGCCTCTAACCACTGAGACACGAGCCCGTTGGACTGTCGGTTTTCGATTGGGAATATACAATGGAGGGTGGCGTTCATCGATCGTTCTTACGGAACTCACTCGTTGCGTTGTGCCTTATGGACTCTCCCTCGAGCCCAGCCAGCAGCCACACAGCGGCGCATGATATAGGCAAAATGATATTACCTACAAAGACAAGGGAGACTGGAATGACCATTTCTGGCTTATCAGTCGTCGTCAGCCAGTTATACCCTACCCCGAAGTGTGGCACACCCGAGGCTGGAACTCGCGACCTGTTTTGTTAGAAGTCCACGGCTCTAGCCACTGAACCACGAGCCCGTTGCCCTGTCGGTTTTCGATCGGGAATGTAAAATGGTAGGGGGCCCTTACCGATCGCTCTTACGGAACTCACTCGTTTCGTCTGGATTTGTCTTCATCTGCAACGGTATTTTACATACGTATCGTCCCAACTAGTGAAAACCAGCCGTCCTATCCTACGACGTAATGGAATACTAGGGCCAGGCAGGGCTGGTGTAACGTTGGAATGCTTTGACTGTGGATGTAGATATACATGCATCCCCAGAAAATTAAAAAAGAAGCTGGACAGATATTGAAATTCACATCGCAATGATACCAAGCCGCCTTAACCCCGATTCGAGACCACCACGAATCTTTAAGAAACGTTTGCTTACCGAATATGTTAAGGTATGAAACCCGGAGCACAGTCCTACTGTCACTCGTCATGGCACTCTTGAATACGTCAGCTTCCAATAACAGATTCATTACGTCCTTAAATTTCTACATATATCAATTTGGTATTTTTTGAAGCCCTCAAAGTTTCCAATTGTTGACGTACGTTCCCTTGGTAATCCGGAGAGTTGGTCCAAGCAAATACACCTACACCTTCGAATAAGCTGAACTGAACCGGAAAACACTCTCCTATTTGCTGGTTTGGATAAGTGGATATATGAACTATTTCAGGTATATTTCTTTATAACTGTGTAGTATGGTGGACCAGCCACGACCACAAGCAAGTGCATTAGAGTGGCTCCGAAAGCATGGATGATATTCGACATTAAATCAAAACAATTAGTGGGCTGTAAACAACGACAAACAAACAAAACTGATGTATAAATCAGCTGCAGGCCAAATCAAGGACCTGCTTGAATAAACATTTCAATTAGGGGGCATGTAGTAGTGAAGCAGGAGTGAAGCAGGGATGTGCCCTGGTGCACACCCTCTTCAATCTTGTGTTCACTGCCATGCTGATAACCGCCTACCGTGATGCACGTCCGGGGATCCGCATCGCCTACGGGACGAACGACCCCCTCCTCAATCAACAGCGGATGCACTTCCAATCGCGCGTATCCACAACCACAGTTCACAAACTTCTCTTCGCCGTCGACTGTGCCCCCAGCACCATCTCGGAAGAGGACATGCAAGGGAGCACGGACCTCTTCTCTACCGCCTACGAGAACTTCTGTCTGGTCACTAACACGAGAAGACGGTGGTCACGCATCAATCGCCACCCAAGACAGTCCGTCCCAACAGTGTGCTGCAGATCAACATGAGGGGAACCCAACTGGAAGTGGTGGAGAACTTGCCGCATCTAGGCAGTACCTTTATCCCAGCACGAAAATTCACGACGTAGTGGCACGCCGGATTTCGACAGGCAGTCAGGCTTCGGCTGTCTTCAAAACACAGTCTGGCATCGTCACGGTCTCCAGCTTAGCACGAAGCTGACGACGTAAAAGGCCGTCATCCTCTCGACAATTGTGCATGGAGCAGAGCCTCAGACGACGCACACGAAACAGGCACGTTGACTCAACCACTTTCACCTCAGTTGTCCTCGCTGCTTTCCGAAGTTGACTTGGCAGGACCGAATCCCGGACCCTGATGTACTAAAACGAATAGCAATCCTCAGCCCTCACGCCATGCTGAGGCAACTGCAACTGCAAAGAAAGGGCCATCTTGTGCGGTTGGGCGAAGAGTGGCTACCTAAACGACTTTTTTATGGAGACGTCGCCATGGGTCTCCACGGCCAAGGAGGCCAAATTCGGCGATAAATGGATACTCACGAGTCCTCCCTGAAGCGCCTGCAAATCAGTCCGGCAAATTGGAAAGACATCTCCCCAAACAGATCGACCTGGAGAAGGACAGTGAAGACGGGCGCTGCGATCTACGAAGTCATCCGCATCGTCGCCGCGAATGCCAAACGCGAAGACCACAAGTCTCAGCTGCGCCCATCCCGGACTACGAACGCACAACCGCCTCCAACGTGTCCACGGTGCAACTGACATTTCAGGTGCCAACTGGACTTGTTAGATATCTTTGGATCAACTGCAGCACTAAGGGTGCACCAACCGGCGACCCTCCGTCTTCCTCTTCCTCGTCGTCTAAGCCGTCAACTAATTCTGACCGCCTTCCTGAACCACCACTTCCATCCTTCTCATTCTCCCCATCCTCCTTCACCCCTGTCCCAACGGCTGCCGTTGTGGCGCCTGTCACGCACGGTAACAGTACACAGAATCCTGACACAACAGCAACCACCAACACCTACCTTCGTCGACATCAGAGTTGAGCACCAGGACTACACCGGTCCCCACTTCGACCGCACCCTCACCTCGCACGTCGATCTGGTCGATCACTTGCGAATCCATCGCGCAGAGGCTGGCGGACCAGTGCCTGAAGCGCCAACTTACAACCGCCGCACCCGCCTTCACTGTCAACACTGCCCGCACACATTCCTGCACCACATGGGTCTATTCGGCCACATCCGTATCCACGTGAGCGGAATTGGCCGCAGTCCGACATATCCACTGTTATGCATGCAAAACAGAAGGGTAATTGTAAATAGAACGTATATTAAGTACGAGAGGCAAAACCAAGGTGGCAGCTTGTGTAAACGGCCAGGTATATGACAGGGGCAACTGTCGTAGGCAGGTGGATGGCCAATTGGGACAAAGAAGGTATGAACACGGGTGAAGATCTTGATCGTTCGCTTGTCACGCGTTTGTGGTATGGTTTCCGCACAGCCCGTAGCAAATTTATTAATAAAGCGTCAAAAGTGTGCGACCAACCCCACAAATGAACGCCAAATGACTAGTATGCTTGGAGCGTCGTACCGACTTTAAGGCTTCGAGCATATGTTCGAGTGGATGGAGGCCAGTTTTATCCAACCTGAAGCCCGGGTATTCCACCGAGTCGGTCTGTGACTAATTTATCGTCCAGATATGCGCAAACGTGCATTATATTCTTCACGAAATTGTCAGTCAAGCATTGAAATAAACCAGGAGCCGAGCTTACTCCAAATGGTAGTCTTTGATATCGAAATAAAGTCCGATGCGTATTGATGGTTGCGGCGTGTCGGAATTCCGTATCTAGGACGACTTGGTTTTAGGCATGCTTCAGGTCCAAAGTTGTACATTCATGACCACCTGAGAGGGATGCGTACGGAACATTACCTTGTAAACGACAACGTTTTCTAAACGAAAATAATCTTGGTCACTAACAGATCACGTAGATTTGGACGCCCGTAACGCGAGCCATGACGCATTCCCGAGACCTACTACAGGATCGTAATACAACAGTGCCAGTTTAATGCAAGAAAACTGCGCTTCCGTTAGACCTTAGAGAAGTGCAGTCCGTTTTTACTGTTGCTGCGATCCTGTGGGACAAAACTATTTCCCAAAAATGATATGTGCTCTCACGTGTAGCGGATGTCATCGGGAATTAATTTTTCTCAACTTAGGGGAAAATAAACACTTTCGTAGGGTCTGCTCACCACGCTGTCGGAGTCGGTCACTGCTGAAAATAGGTACAGAAACAGACGACGAGGACAAATATATCAATAGAAAAGTATAAAGAACATTGATGCCCGCGGTAGGCAGGTCAGTCCACGTGGAGAATTGCATGACTTTTCTTACATGAAACGTACACGGAGTGCAGTTGCAGTGCAAGCGCACCTACAAAACTGACTTAAAATTACTTGGACATTACAAAAACATTGTTAAAACTCAAACCTACCCTTTCCCCAAATATGAAATAATGTGTTTTCTCAAAAGCATATTACAAGCCGCCGACCGGCCTGAATTAAGTATCTTGAGGTTATGCTGTACGATAATCAATATTACGAGAACATCCAAGAAGTCTCCTTAATCAAAAAAATACAATCGGAATTGCGGATGGCATTTCTTAAGGTAGGCTGGCTGCTAGATGCCAGTGGATATGACTTACAGTGTGTTAAAAAACGAGTGAGATTCGTGGAAAATTAACGTTACAATGTTCTTTGTATTTGTTTTGCGAACTGGTATGTAGGCTTGACATTCCGCTATGCGTCCCAATGCTCAAAGTCGATGGTGCATTTCCAGTTCAGAAAATCGGTTTGGGAGGCGGGTATTTCGATAGTAGTCAGTTTACTTAGCAGACAATCGAATGTGTTGGCAAAATTTGTTTTGAACTGGATTTCACTGAACTCTTGGAGTTTTGGGGTTTGTGCTCGTCCGGTCTCCGCAAGGTATACACATTTACAGTAAATTATGTTTAAAAGCAATTAAAATGACCTTATTTGCACGTGCACATAGCAAACAAACAGGTCAACTTAAGTCGTCTAAGAGGATACAATAATTTGCAAAGGCCTGCTGTGGTAATACCGTGGTGAGTGGTGTTTAAATGGCTACATTTGTCAAAGGGACGTCTATGAGGTGGTTGATATGAATTAAAAAGTAGCCACTTAGTTAGCTAAAAGCCAAACGCAGTGTGTTCAAACAGCTATCGTCGAAACGTTAAATAGTTTGACTTCACAAACGACACCTGATAATTAACGCCATTGCATACTTTTAGCAATAGTATTTAATGCCTAATTAATAACAGCCAATGCTTTCCGGTTCCTGCTATGCAGGCTGCAGTACAACAGCCATACCTTGCATTGTGCCAGCAATGTTCACATTATGATAAATGATGAACCAGACACCAAGTGCCACCTTCCACATTGCATGGACGGTGAAATGTCAGCTGCGTCAAATTCACTGAACTTAAATGTAGTTAGGAAAGAGTCTTGATCTCACCAATGGACTGGATTGACTTGCAGGGCTGCATTCGCAGTGATAAGCCAACGAATGAAATGCATGAATCAGAATTAAACATTGTATCAGACGCCGCCACTTTTGACTTTAGTGACAAGTAGTAGTAATACATACTCTGATGGAAGAATCTTGGATCAACGAAGACATTTTCTACCAAACTTCATACATTCTTATTGATATTTGATAAATAAGTGCATTTTGTACTACATTATAAAAACAACGTAAACCCCGCTCACTTCGTATGAATTCGCTAAATATAAACTCAGCTTCCATCATGGGCTTGAAATAAGTGGATTTACGGAGACAAGGCCGAGAGTGGGACGCAAATCTGCATTGTTTAGCTTTGTCAGACACTGCGGACAAGTTCATCTCCATTCCCAGAAAGATAAGAAAGAAGAGAGCGCGACAGGGTGCTGCGCAAGTCAGCTGTCATCACAAGCCATTTCAAGCGCAAGTCACCGAGTTTTTTAGGCCTTCGAAACGGCCAATGGACCCAACGCGTCCATTCTTCCGGTCAGTCCTTCTCTGCGGTTGTTAATAATGGACTGCGGGCGAAAAAGACGACAGAGAACTCGGGGTATTTGACCACGCTTGCTAAAGAACGTCCTTCCCGTAAGATACATTGAATTCAACTCAAATATGACAAAGCACACCCGCTGTGACAATGTTGCGAGCTTATCTGAGGTTACACAAGAAAGATGCCTGAGGTGGCGTTGGCACCCTCTCTTTGCCGGTCGCCCCACAAGATCATTTTTTCCACACTCGATCCGACGTCATAACCTGATTGGCGGCCTGGAATGGTGGTCAAGCAAAATCTAGCTCGCCACAGTTTACTAAAAATGGAAATGATACCTGAACTTTCGGCATTCGGTATTCGTCGCTGGAGAGGAGAATAGGTCTAACTTTCATGGTCCGCTATCTCAGAAAGTCACGTAGCGAACGGTACAGTCCTTTGCATGAATGAGGCCGGCTAGATCAGACACGATCCCAGCCTTCCGACATATGAATACAAGTACTTCCGTTGGTATGCAGGACAGGCTATTCGGCGGGAGAAGACGCTCGGGCATATGCGAATGTACTGGATTTGTTAGTTGTCAAGAATATACGAAGCAAACCCCGTCATGACGATGCGCTAATGTGGCCATTTGTGTTGGCAAAAACTGGCGAGAGTGCGCGATCTAAAAAAATACTTCAAATATGAGAGGTCAAGATCTTATTGGGATCGCTTTAGAATGTGCATAAATTTCGGTCCTCGAATGCTTGGTATCAAATGACGATAGTCTTCAATCAAATGACTACTAGTTTAGGGCTACCCACTCGTAGATCATCGGTGCAAACGTCACTGTTCCCCTCCCTGCCCACTTTTCTGCCTTTTTCTCGTTTTGGCATGTTGGCAGACATTTAAGTCCGTCCCTATTGACCTCCTCTTTATCGGTCAAGTTTCTTTACAAGAGATTCGTATTTTGTGTTTTTGACGAACTCCTCGACACTGGCACTGAGGATGAAATTAGACAAGATTCGACTGCCGATAGAAGCCGAGTGTCGAGTTACAGGAAGCAGTTCAGAAGAAAAAGATGCGATCTCTTGCATAAGAAATTTGTTGGCCTAACTCTTCGGATTCTCACTAGAGCACATCATCACAAAACTTGTTCAATATCGTGCGAATGTGGCCACAAGGCCGTTTTGCACTATCAATACAAGTCACATATCTGCTGCCCTAACGCATGACGATAGCTGGGTGCTATCGACCTCGATAGAGGTCTCTCGTATTGGGTGTTTTCCTACTTGAATCTGCCTTAGTATCCGGAAGATCCTGGCCATGACGAATTTATTTACGTTACTAAATTATAGACTGTCAACATGCTCTGCCCTGTGAACAATTTTTTTAAAAAAATAAATAGAGTTATAATTTCTTCAAGACACTTTCGTCAAAAATGTCTGCAGAAGCGCTGCATCGAACACGGTTTTGCTCTCCAACTTTGAGGTATCAAACAGATTGTTCCGCAGTGAAAACTGCAAGCCGGATAAATTAAAACGGTTCATCCCTAAATCCCTTGAATGAATAAGACTAAAAATAAATAATTACTGCGCTTAACGTCGTAACGTTACGCTCGACAATGTGGTTGCCCTATTAATCATGGAACGACCGTAGCGCTACAGATACGCTCATTCCAATACCCTAACTTTAGACATCCCCATCTAAACATTTACCCTCTGGATATTCGAAGACAATTCGGATGCGATGGATTTTACTTTAAGCACCACATGCAAATATCGAAACATCGATAGCAATTTATTCATAAAGATTTTACTAAACCTTGGAAATTGTGACTCTTGTATTACGCCGACGTCAGGATAAATGACAAAAGCCACTCCGGCTTAACCCGAATCGCCTTGTAGTACACAGCTCGCGGTGGAGTTGTGGGTGTGTCCTTAATCATTTGACGGTTTGTAATTTGTCGTCGTAATATTGTGTTGAGAAAAAGGAAAGAGTAAT